AGTGATCCAATCCAGAGCTGGACTGGGGTGACATTTGTTTACATTATTCCAGTTAATTAGAAGCCAGTAAAATGAATATCGAATTTGAAAAGTTTTCCCAACCTCGTTGTCAAACAACAAATGTTGCCGATATCTTAATTTTGGTAAACAAATTGGCAAACATCGAATTCTGTTTATGGAACATTTGACGAAAGAACTCAAATCACCCTTTCAACAGGGTATCACAATATAATATCGGGCCCTGAATAAAAAAGTTATGAAGAAACTGTTTTTAATACATACAAACTAGAAAGCCATTTTGGCCAGCTCGGTAATCCTGAGGTACAAAATTCTTTGCAGCAAATGGGGTTTTCAAGTGTTTTGGAAAGAAAATGTGAATATCTACACTGGCGGTGAAAAGTGGATGAATGGTGTTTTATTTTTAATATTTACAACGTTTTTCAAGGTAAATTTAAAAAAAATATGGTTCATCTTTAACCAAATATATATATATATAAATCCAATTTCCAAACTTTATACAGAATTTAGAAAAATTCCAAAAATTTTCATCAACATTTTTATAAAATTTTTGGGTACGCCGTTACAAGACATGAAATTTTAGTAAAATAAATGCAAGTATTGAGCGGCTAAAAAATCGCACTGGGTTTTAATATTTTTTGCTGGTGTTTCTTCCATTTTTTTCGCAAACGAAATTTTTATATGGGACCGAAACAAATTAGTCGTTTTATTTGACTCAGTCTAATGTGCATACATAATTATGTTTGTACTATAATTTGCTTAGATTGATATGACTCTTCCACTGACTCTGAACTTGAACTAATTAATTAAACTTATTTTGCGTACATAGTTAGACAAACATATTTAGGTACATATATACTTGTACATTTTCATGTAGATTATCAAAATTTTGAGACAGCACTAGAGGTCATCTGTAATTAACTGCGCATGTGTAAAACTCCCACGAAGCGGAAAACGGAAACAGAAAATATAATGAGATACAAAAATATTTACATATATACGTACATACACTGGCGGCAGAAATAATAGATTCGTAGAAGAGTTGAAGAGTTTTGGCTATATTTCTTTAGTTTATTTTATGTTTAATATTTTTTTATAAAAGCCTAGGTAGTTATGCAACAAAAATCATATGAATCTCCTTTTTAAACTTTGAACAAAAGTTATAAAAATTCGACAAATTTTCACCAAATTCTCAAACTTTTTATTCAGAATTTTTAGACTAATTGTTGGTATTCAGTTTTGTAGCCAACTCAATTTTACTATCACCAAGTGCAAGTTTGAATTTCCTACAAAATACCGTTGATTTTTAAGAATTTTTTCCCAATACAAAGTGTGCTCGAAATTTTTTTATATGGAAGAAAATGCCTAGCATCGTCAAGAAAAAATATTGTCAAAAATCAACGGTATTTTCTAGCCACTTGAAACTTACACTTACTAAAAGGATTTTACGTGGTAAAAATGCGTTTCTGCCTAAAAATGTTTATGGTTCTGTCTGTTCCTCCTCTTTATCTTTGTGCTGCAACAACTTGTTTCCACGTCTTATATAATGTCCAGTCACTTGCTTTGTGGTATAAATAAAATCAAAATTTGAAACCAAAGTTTATTTGTATTCAGCAACCCTCCAATTTTCCTAGCCTAGCAATTTGAATTTTTTTGTGGTCTCTTGACCTTGCAGCCTGATGTCTGCCCTTTTATCACTTGTTTAGATAACCGTACAACGAAAATTTGGCTGATAGGATTTCTTTTTTTTTTATAGCGTGGACTTTCTGATCGTTTTGCAAAAACTTTTAATTTTTTTTTGCTTGGTGTGTGCACTTAAATTACGTGCACAGTGAAAATCCCACGCGGCTTGATTACAAAATTTTAGGAAATCAGCCAGAACTTCTTTTTGAAATATAAAATTCAGCAATTACTAAGAAGGTGCAAAACTGGAACAATCCAGTTCATTTTTATTTTTAGTATTTTTTCTAAGCTTCCATATGCGACTTTTTAATTGTCAAACGTTAAGTTAAACATCGGTAAGGCGAAATGCAAATTTTAATTACCATAAAGTAAATAAATTGAAATAATACCGTACCATAAATTTAAATTTTGTTTTGTTGTAGATTAACGAAATCGTCGGATAGCATTAGAGTTCATCTTTCATTAACTGCGCATGCGTAAAAACTCCCACGAAGCGGAAAACGGAAACAGAAAATGTAATGAATAGAAACAAAAGATACAAAAATATTATGTACTCACATACATTTGCATGTACAGATATTTATATTTGGACACTGAAATGCAAATACATATGTATATGTAAAGACTGGTTTTCACTATGTCATATTTTGACGCCAAAATTTAGCGACGTATATTGACACAACTTTATCTCCTTTTTGCATACCTTTACCGATGATATTACGGGCCTAAAACTGACAGATAGCCGATTTAGCAGCGCATGTACACGACTAAAGATCTTTACTGATCAAAATCAATCGATAAGCCGCATTTTAATCCCATTTGGCAATGTGTTTTCACTTATTTGACGATAAATGCCATTGAATTTTCATAATGAAAACCAGCCTTATGTAATTTGTATTAATTTTTTATTATATTATATTTTTATTTTTATTAATTTCATGCTGGGTTTACGTCGTGAATACTGAACACAAGCTCGAAAGGCTGGTTTCCCTTATAAAAGAAAATCCCAATACTCAGTTGGCACGATCACTGAGAATAAAATCGTAGACTTTCGTCAACTTATGCAGGCGAAAAATTGCCTCATGCAGCTTAAGGCTATTAGACTCCAGAGCTGTCTAAATTTTTAAAGGGAGGCTTTGAATGGCAGTCTGAGTAGATTTATCTGGATGATAGGCAAATTGGTTCTTATTCGGTGGCCGTTCCCTTAGGTTGACTTCCTTGATATGCTGATCCAGTATTTTCCCCATGTCTTTAGGAGAAAGGGACTCAGGCTAATTTGTCGGTAGGACGAGGGTAGAAGTTCTACCGTACACAGTTTTTGTAAAAATACGACCTTAATAGTACATTCCACAGTGTGCCTTAACTTACTCTTAATCAAAGGTGCTCTCACTGTAAATTTTCTGTCATATCTTGAATATGCATTGTTTTCTGAGTAATTTGCAAAAAAATTCCAAAAATCTTGTATCGAGCCGTTTTTGAGTAATTCGACTTTCCAGGTTAAAAAATTTAAGTTTTTGGGTTTTATGAAAATTATTGAGTATCATTGCAACAAAAATTAATAATAACAATTTATAATTAAAAAAATATATAAATATGAAACCATTTATATACATATGTGTATGAATGTACACTAGGGTGCTCCTTAAATGTAGGCAGCAAATTTGTACATCCGATTTCCTAAGCCTCAACCCCTACGTCGATGCTATTATAGTCAAAGATATGACATATACATTTTTGCCCTCATTGAAGCCGGTTAAGGCGTGTCGTACAAGCGTCAAAGTTCAGATGGCCCTATGACGATGTCTTAGCCGACTTCAATCGGGACTAAAATTGGTATGTGTTATCCTCGACTTTAGTAGTATCGATTTTAGGCATTATATTAAAAAAAACATATTTATTAATTTTTTGAGCCCTTAGATGCATCTGGTCTTCGACGCCTTTGCGACTCTCATACTCTCATTCTTATAATAATGTGACGTCACACCCAGTTGCTCTCAGCTCGATTGGCGCAATCTTGTATTCTATCAGTCTTGTTTCACAGGTGGTCCCATACAAGGTGTATTAAACAAGGTGGGATTGACAACTCAGGTAGGCTCTCTTTTAAGGTACTAGTATGCCAAAAAATATAAACAAGCGATTAAAAATTAAAAAAAAAAAATTCAATTTGACTTTATATGATGGTTCTTCCCAGAGCAATGTCAAATTCAATCCCACTTTGTTGAATACATTTTGGTCCCATAAGAATTTGGTTTAGATCCGAACATTGGATTAATGGTAGTCCTAAATTTTTATATGAGAATTGAAGTCGGTTGTGTTTTTTGCTTACAAATTACTTGTTAATTATACATTGTTACTATTTTCTGGTTCAGTATTACTCAATAACTTTCGTAAAGTTCAAAAGATTTAAATTTTAAACCTAGAAAATCGAATCGAAAAGATTTTGATTTCTTTTGCCATAACTCAGAAAATTAATTTACAGTGAGAGCACCTTTGATTCCCACTACACTGAAATCACTCGCGAAATCTTTTGTAATCCAGGTGGATTTCTCATATATTTTCATGAATTCGATTCCTTGAATTTTAATCCGAATTCAACGAAATCCTATCGAAATCCTCACTTTTGTAAAACGAATAAACCTTTAGATACTACAAAGTTCAATCCTGTAGACTGCTTCACCTGAAATGTCAAAATTCTCTACATAAACAAACGCACACAACCACATACATTAATTAGAAAATGTCCACGAAATCCAAAAAAGCGCGATGGAAACACTTAAAAAGGTTTTTAAGATTTCGGGCTCGATATCTCAGATTTCAGTGCAGTGGTAATGTAATATAACCATAAACCATCTGCTGGGACCGAATACTAATATTTATATGGAAATATTTTTGAATTTTGATTAAATTTACCGAGCTATGCTTTAAATTTTCAGTACTACGCACTTGTGTATCGACACCTGAGTGGACGATCGACCTATCTCGGCAGCAAGTCCAAAAACGACCTACATATATATATCTCACAAAACTTTTCAAGAACGCCATATTTCAAAATTTGGTTGAAGAACGCCCTATCTTAGAATTCAATTCAAAAACGCCCTATCTCAGCTCCCTATTGAAAAATGGCCTATCTCAGCACATTTTCAAAATATATGTTCGGTTGAGGTAGGGCGCCTTTAGCCGCCAACTTTTTGTGAAAGTAGAAAAGGCATAATTTCAAGACTCCTCTATATTTACAAATATTTTTGTTGAAAAATTTTAAATTGTCATGCTATTCACCTATTTTATTTTTTATTTTTTAGCATTACACATCAAAATCATACAACGCGTAGCATCATGACGTTCTATTGGTGGTCACATTGGTTCTGGATAACAACGTTAAGCAGTGAGTATAGTTATATTCATACCGTTGCATTTTACCCAGATACTTAGCTATTGCTTTTCTTTCAATACATCCAGCTATCCTTCTGAGCATAGCCATCGTGCACACATATCCTAGCCAGGATATTTCCCAAGAGTACAATCAAAATAGTAAATCAGTGAAAGCCGTTACAAAGCTACATCAGACGACAGCCTCAATAGAATGGTCCACAACGACGACAGGCACCGCTCTTACTCAAAGTACAGAAGAGGAGGGTATTGTTGAAACTGCGCCACAGCAAAGCCAAGAAGACAATGCGGGAGGCAGTGGTGATGAATTGCCTACAGAGGACACGGACGATAGCGCTGTGGCACAAGCAGACAAGGAATTAGAGCGGCAAACTGCTGAAGAGCATGAGAATGTGGTGGAGAATGAGAGCAGACTGAGCCCGGAGCAGTTGGAGTACAAAAGATCTGCAGGGAATTTTAATAAAACGCTAGAAGATGTTAAAGACGAAGTTGAGACTGTTGAAGAGCTAGAGGTGGCTGCAGTTGTGGCTGAGCAGAGATCGATGCCAATGGAGGAAAGAGGTCTAAAATTGAGAGGCGATGATGCAGAGATGAATAATTATACGAACTTTAGTCGGGCTTCCGACCAGTCGAAGTAAGTAATTCAAGTGAAGGATCTCCCAGTCCTATAAATCTCTTTTTTTTTGGATATTTAGAACCAATACAACTTGCGAAAACTGTCAAAGAGGCGCCAATGAGCTAAACAACAGCACCACAACAGCCACACGAACCCTACAGGCACCGAAGGCAGCGAGCGCGTCGACCACCATTTCGACGACGCTGCCTGTGGCATCAAAATCTCGCTTGGACTCCTTACACTCCGAGACGTTGGAGTGGTTGAATGCGATTGCAGCAGCTGCCGCTGTACCAGCGCCCAAATTGCTTACGAATGCGCCAGAATCAAGCGAAAACGATCGTGGAACGCTTACTGTACCAACAGAGTCGGCAGCAGCGACGGCACAACAACGCATACCCTTCACGTTGGAGAATGCCAACAAGGAGGAGGAATTGCGACGCGCCGAAAACGAGCATCGATCGCGAAAATCGAAAGTGCTATCGGCCGAATACAAGCATATTAATCGATTCATAAACTACTCAGCGGACACAAAGAGCCTATTGACGCGAAGTGCGTCGACGGCGCCCAACGATTTCGATGGCGGTGAAGAGAGCAACATCTCCTCGGAGGCATTATCGATACAGGTGAGCCGATATGCATTGGAATTCGAACGAGATTGTGATCTAAGTTTTTCTTCTTTTCCCGTAGCGTACTTACTTTCTCGACGCTGGCGCCATTTCTGCCATTTGTTTCACTATCTTCGGTATATGCTGTACTGTTGGCACCATTGGCATAGTGCTCTATCGGCGTAGATACCTCAATAAACCACAGGCGCTTAGCGAGCCTGACTCGAGTGTCTACATCGATGATAGCACGATGCGTGTAAGTGTAAGGAATCGTTTAATCAGGCTAAGAATTTATAATGGCTGCGTAAATGAAGTTAATTTCTTTTGATGATTTACAGGATAACTCCGATGAGATGTACAGTTTGGATAACGATTCATTTCTCAATTCGCTAGAGGCGATGACAATACAAAACTACTGGACGGACACCGTTAAACATACAAAGCTTTAATTTCGTTTACAAGGAGGGGAGACATGCATATACGAGTATATATGTACATATTAATTAGATATTCATACATATATGCATCATTATTAGAAACATTAGAAAATTAGTATAAAATATTGTCTAATTGAAGAATATTATCTATTATTAATTATAAGTTAGTTTGCATCTACTAAACTCAAATTAACATAATCATTAAGTTTAAATAGATATTTAGCTGTTAGTGATGTGATTGAGATTCCCAGAGTCAGGGGTTAACAATTTTGTTTGTATGTTTTTTATTTTTTTTTACTTAAATTAATGAAAATTTTATGTAGGAGGGATGTGATTATTTTTTAATAGTATGTATCTTAATTTTTCTTTAT